ATTAATCACGCAGCTAATTTTATTTTATCACCATCGCGTTGAAACTATAGTAAACTGTAGTAAACTATAGTAAATGGTGTTACGGTTTCATCAAGTATTTCACGGTGGCGCGTATTTCCCGACCATCGCTCGACCTTATATACAATGCTCGTAGTTTTACGAAACCAGATCCGACTAATAGCGATTTCGTGTTTCGTCCTGTTTTCACGCCGCCTCCCGCAGCAGTTTCTGCGGATGCTTCTAAATTTTGTATTCCGACTACTCCCTCGACGAAGAGATCGCAAAGAAGTCTGCTCCCTCGCAAAGCACGTTGAATACTGAATCGCTTGACGATTGATTGTTTAACGCAGATTGTATTAAGTATGACTTAGTTCCAATTATTCACATGCCATAAACGATGTAAATAGCGACACGTGTAAGCGTGCATATCCCATACAAAGCTGTTCAAATTATTGAGCGAATTATGGCGATGAAGTTTGCCCGCGGGGATGCGAAATTGTATGCAATAATGAAGCGATAAACAGTAATGAGAATTGTAATTAAGATTCGCTATTGGAAAACATTAATTGCTTGTCCATTCAAAAAAATATTTTTCACATAAATACACTAAGAAAAAAAAGTTTTTAACTAGGAGTGCATTCCGTTTCATGCATGATGTGTATATCATTTATCTTTGTTTAAATACATTCTAGACTAAATACGTTCGTAGTGATTATTTATATAGTTCAAGTATTTTTATATTTAAGTTAAATATATGTGAGTCACGTCAACAAAATCTTGTAATTTAAAACATATTCTTATTTATTATTTAAAACATATTATTTGTTTGAATTAATAAATATTTGCTAGGCAACTCATGATCGCATTTAGATGAAACAATTAATATGTTATTAAAACAGCAACTTTTTTTTTCAATATAAAGAAAATCATAAATATAACAATGAAATTTTACGAAATATAATAATGAGTCATGTTTTTCTTTCTTATTTCAGAGTATAAACAATATCTTTCTTATTCTTATTTTTTCATATTTTAATATCTGAGTCTTAATATTATAATTCAAAAAAAAGGAAGATGAAGCGAAGTATGAGATAACTCTGGAAAAGTCGCTGCGAAATTAAAAAGAATCGATAAAAGTACTTAGAGTGGGAATTTAAAATATTGCGCAAATTAATTAACGCCGGTTGGGAAAACGCGATAAGGCGGTTTTTTTTTCATCGCTCAAGTGCATCGTCTCTCAACAGAGTGGAAAAGAGATAAGAAAGAGACAGGTAAAGCGAAATGGCAGGCTAAAATTTTTATGACGATTACGCGATGCTGGACGGAGAAAGCTTTATTTTATTTTCAATGTAATCTCGTCGCGTTCGTATGATTGTCACACGGACGTGGGATTATGCGAATTGATATATTAATTTTATGGATGTACTTGGTGACGCTTATGCACGCACTAACGCACAACGCAAGAAAATGACAACAGGCCAGCTAATATAATGAAATGTCAGAAACTGTCAACAACGTAGAACAATTCCCATGTGCAATTAAAGTTAGTTTGATTATCTCTTCTTGTTAATGAATGGCATTCTGTAATGTCTATAGTAACCTCATGACTTAATATACTTGTTAATCCTGAAATCTCTCTCTCTCTCTAATTGTGAAGTCAAATATAATTCCATTCAGAAAGAGATGTTTACAAGATTGCTATTTAACATATAAAATGAAAAGATGACGAAGAATTTTTTTCCATAATTTGTATCCATATAACAGTCATAAAAAACATTAAAAAAATTGTGTCTCTCACTTTATTTTGTTAAATTATAATGTACATTTGTAGAACGAATTTTATTTTTACCTTAAATTTGTCGCTAAATTATTTTCTTTAAAAAAAATCATTTTTTCCTAAAATATTTTATGTATTAAATTTCTTATAATATTATTTATTTTATTTATCATAAATAATATTGTATAATAAAATGTATAATGCTTTTAAATAAGAAAGATAATTATCTAAAAGAATTTTTATACATCACTGATAAAAAATTAAAAATACAAACGCTCTTATTTACATCTATCTGTTAATTTATGGAGATGGGCTTGAAAATAATATGCAAAAAAATATACTAATCGCTGTAATGGTTTCTCTTTCAGAAGAAATAAAATAATGTTAGATTAAGCTGCTAAAGTGCCACTGATTCGCAACATGGATAGGACTTCTGTAATACCCTAAATTACATTACAGTAAATTACAGTAAACACTTTCCTACATTATTTTTTTATCATCAACTTGGAGAAGAAAATTAGTTTCGTTGACACTCGACGGGACGCGGAGTAATTGCGTGTGTTTTATATCGGCTAAAGCAATAAAATTTATAATCGCTTTTGCGTAACTTATAAGAATAGGCATTTAAACGCATAAATATTGATAGTTCATTGGAAAGCCGTTAATTGCACATTACTGTCCTGTCGCGCACTCAATCCGTTCCTCAATCGGTTTCATTGTAAATTCAGCGAGTGAACATGGAATCTCCATTTGGAATATGGGGGTTGCAGTTCGGATCATATCCGAATTGATGCTTCACCAAAAGCATGAGGAGATATCTCTCAATAATGGCCTCTACACGACAATCTTACCAATCAATTTTGTTAAAAGACGTTCAAGATTGTAATTAAGTGTATACGTGCAAACAAGTACACGTTTCAAAGATAAAACTTTTTAAATGCGCGAATAATAAAAACGCGTGAAAGTTTATATATTCAAATAAGAAGATAGAGTTAAAAATATGCGCAAGTCCACATATAAGAACTATGTGGAATGTGGAATTTTCTAAATTTGAAAATTCCACGCGTCAAAGAAGAGCATAGTAAAATACAAGTTTTTATTATATGAATTTTATTGATAAAAAATTAGTTCTATTCTTATTGCATATTTTAATAGACTAGTTTCTATTTAAAGATTCAATAAATATTGTTCGTATTTTTTGACCTTTTTATTTACTAAGCTTTTTGCTTAGCAATCTAGAGCTAGAAAATTGTATTTTAATTTACAAGTTTTTACTTTTACACATCAAACGTGATCAAATAAAATGCGCGCATAAGATGTAAAGGTAACAACAATCTTTGGAGTTTATACTTTCGCACAAATCTGTATTCAAGCACGAACGTAAGAATGTGTCTTTTATGCGTCGTCTATAATATGCAAAATAAATTTGGTGAAAAAAGTAAGAGTAACAATCAACTAATCACAGTTGTATATGATTCTTCCCATATTCGACTATAATTGCTCAACTTCTTATTCTTACTTTTTGCATCATGCTTACTCCGCATGAAAAAAAAAATTTAGTTGACCTGGAATTTTGATGGAAAATAAATGATCCAAAATTCTGGTTAAGTCTATTAGATTTCTGGTTAAAACTACTAGAATTCTAGTAAATTTAACTAAGAAAATTTTTAATGTTGTCTGATAAGATGGAGATTGTCGCAACTGGAATTTTAGTAGATTTAACTAGAAATCCAGTAGATTTAATCAGAATTCTGTTTATTTTCCATCAGAATCCTAGTTAATTCAATCAAACACTTTTCTCTGTACGCATATTGTAAATAATGCATTACATGATCAACGTTCTTGAATGACGTGGTCTAAACTCACTAGTTTTGCGTCTCCCTCAGCCTGTACATTCCTTAGCACACAAATAAAAACTACTAATAACACAAAAGAATTGAGCTCTTGTATTCGCAAGTGAAATCGTATCAAAATGCAATATGAACTGCCGCATATCACAGACAATCCGTAGATCCTTGGATATACAGGTGTACATAGTCTCATTTGCGGAGTGGATATTGCGTTGCGCTTATCATATATAAAATTTATTGACGAGGAAGGACGAGAACACGGAATGAAATAATTGTATTTCATCGTTTGCATAATTTTCACGGTCGCTCATTGCACATTTCCCATTCAGTCACTGGTTTAAAATTTATAAGAGCGACGGAAGATAAATCTCTGGCAAGCGGTGTGAAGAATGTGGAAACATTTATGTTTCTTTTAGACATTCGCGATACAATGACGATAAGAGCTCGCCGATCACGTTTTGCTTTATCTGTTTTATTCGCTCGTCGCGCTGGGATAAAAGGAAATCCGTGAATAAAGAGAAAATTCTCTCGTTATATCAAGCTTCTCTCATATGCGCGAAAATCCTTTATTTCCATGTCGGATGTACGCATCCTTCTCCTTCCATTTCACTCTCAAGCAAATGTGACATAAATATTTCGCATTGCATACAATCCTCGCGGATATGTCTGTTTATGCAATATTTAATATCGAAGTTCAAAATTTTTTATCAAAGACAATTTTCATCAAAGACAATTTTTTTTCCTTTTCAACAGACTTTAAAGCAGATTAAATTGCGAACGGTTTGTTAATTATAATATAAGCAATTAAAAAAAGAAAAACAAGAATAAAAACGACTTAAAACTTTCATAAAAATAAAACTTTCATAAAATGGCAATGGAATCTACTAAGCTAGTACTCCAGACAATTTGAAATAACTTTGGACAACTCTATTTCCGGAAACTTAACGCACTCTGAAGTTAATTGCTAAGTTATTTAATAACGAAACTTCAGCTGTTTCGTCAAACCATGGTATGCATTTAGTTTTCGGCGGAGGAAAAAGTCTGACTTGTGAAACTTCCACGGAAACATTGAAGTTTCTTCCTTTTAATTAAAAATGATACGCTAATAACAGTATGTCAAAGACATAAAAAAGTGGGGGACAGGTTATAATAAGGGATTTTACAAATTATACTATAAAAGCAGCAGCAATATTCGCTAAAGTTTAAATTGAAGGAAGGGACTCCTTTCCCTTCAAAAGAGCAAGGAAGTTCAGAAGGAGCACTCAGATATTCCATTAGAAAGTAAGCATGGTGAAAGAGCGTCACGAATCATTTCCGATGTAACATATTGAAGAGGAGCGTTTGTCAAAATATATTTGCCGATAAAAACTCACCTGAGAGCGTGAAAATTTGTGCCTGCGATTGGAGTTCGCGATCTCGGTTGGTGTCGCACTCGGTGCGAGAAATCGTATTCGATTGCATTCAATGCCGAGAGGGTGGTGTTGCAACTGATGGGACTGCTGATGGTGATGCAGGTGAGGGGGTTGCTGCTGCGAGGGATCGCCCTCCAGATGATGCTCTCCCGTATCTAACATGCTGCCACTCAGGGAGTCTAGCTGCGTCAACGACCTCGAACGCACCTATAACAATAAAGGATCATGCATACGTTAGAAAAAAAGAATCTATGAATTAAGTCTCTGCATAATTAAATAAGAAACGTGTACTACGTGTATTTGTTGTTAACCGCATTATACAAATAATAACATCTTTAATAATAACAATTTAATAATAAAAATATATACCTACTTAATAATAATATAAGTATTTAATCCTCAACTACAGTTTTATATATAGTATACAGTTTTACATATGTATATATGAAAACTCTACACTTAAATTCTAAAGCGTTCTACTTGAAATACAAAATGCAAGTAAATGTCCGTCTTAGTTGATAGAAGAAGGTTCAATGTTTTTTATCTGTAATACAATTTAGAACCTCCTAGTACCAAAAAGTTTTTACTTTGGGTCTAAACCGTTGCTGAAGAGGGTTAAGAATAACAATTATTTAGAAACTTGTTTATAGGAAATGTATAGAAAGCTTTTTAGAGAATGAAGGATGCTCTTTTACTCTCTGCTTTAGGGTAAAAATGATAAATAATTAATCTCGTCCAAAATTTCTGTTTCTTTAAAAGTGACAAATGTTGTTCTTGAAATGCTTGTCTAATTGGCAGCAAATTAAATTTAATTTTTGGCACAAGACTTTTTAGCAATACTCCATTTCAAAAATATAAAAGAAGGAGAAATACTTTTTTCCTCAAAATTATATTTTCATTCGACGTGACCATCGAAATTTTTTAGACAGTGTGAATTCATATAAATTATTTCCTTTCTATCATTGCAAGCAATCTCATGTAAATATCATATATCCCGTTCCATCTAATTCTTCCCTTCCCGTAATTATCTTCCAATTACTCGCTCGGGGATCAAGCCGAATGCTTCGGAATTGCGAGCACGAATAATGCGATCCGTGTTATTGCGGACGCGCACAAACGGCCAACAATAAAACAAATTTGTGGCCGCAATCAAATGCACCAGTATGCGCGAGGCGCGTCTGAGAGGAGGGTGTACAAACGAAGTAGAGGGTGACACATCGATAGAGGCTGGCTGTTCTGATATTAACGAACTCACGGCGTAGCAGTGTGTGGACGCAACCAATAGGCTGACTTCCTGGGAGATAAATTCGAGGGAAACCTTCGTGTGGACGAAGCGGGTCACTGGACGATCGATTTATGCGAATCAATCCCTCCTGCTGTACCTCGAGGGATTCCTGTCGTTCGTTATCACGATTTACTTGTTGTGCTCTTCTTTTTTCTTCACTCGTCGCAATAATTTACCACCGCGACGTGTGTCTTCGACAGGATTCCTCTCGCTTGGTTTCTCTTTCTTTCTTATTAGAACAAACCACGTAAGATATAATTGAATGACTGGGGTACAGGGGGAGGACAAGTTTTCATTCTGTATACGACGGTTTTAAGCGAAGTAGTTATCAAACGACGTATAACTTTAGACGCTGGAAACAGGGAAGAAGCGTGACTGTTAAGTTTATAACGAGCAGCTAAGCTGCCTAATTTAGAAGTTAGGGAGAAGTAATAATCATTCGTAAAACCAATTTAAAATAATTACGAACGAATCGCGTAAATTGCATGATGTTTAATACATATAGTACAATCACTCTTTATCTTATTAAGAGATTGATCAGTTCTCAAATATAGATTCCATTAATAAGATCATATTAAAAATACTTTTCTTTAATATTAAAATCTTTCTAAAAAGAAAGACAAAAATGAAAATTAATCTCTCTTGCAACTTTTACAGTCGAAAATAACGAGATATTCTACCTTATATGAACGTATAACTTTATAAATAATTTCTATAATATTGCTCGATTATCTCAAGCAATTTTGTCGTACCATTCTAGGTGTATCCGTATAAATAATAACACAGAAAAAAGAAAGTAACTGCCGTAACTAAAAACTACGTCTGATAACTAATAGGTGTAAAATATGATATCATAAAAATAAAATATAGGTATCATAGCTAATGTCTTAGCTGTGATATCTATATTATAGCAGCAACAGCAAACCGTTCCACCGTAGTTTATAAATAGCTACGGCAGCAAATATATTTTAACAAACCAAGATTAGTTACGGCAAAAAAAATTTTTTTTTGATAAAGATATCTAGCGAATAAACTTTCAAAAACGCATACGTTGTTTTAACACACTTATATCCAGCATAAAAACTTCAAAATAAATAACAAATTAAAATAACGTGACACTTAATTTTGTATAGAAAATAAATATGTATAGAAAAATAAATCTAACGCGATTCATATGTAAAAAAATTGAGATTTTGTAAAAATACGCAACGACTGGCTAAACATAATTTATTAAATTAAAGGTAAAACGTTTGTCACTCACAACGCAAAAGATAAAATTTAACATACGTATATATATCTCAAACAAATAAATCTGATTATAATCCGGAACTCCTCGAGATTTCCCTATTGTGCTCGAATCGTCCCAATTTCTAAAGTGTCCACGATTTCCATTCTATCACGAGCGATACAACAGTTTCATGTGAGATTGGGTTACACACATTTCGAGCATTTAGGACGAAAACAGGATATTTACACCGACCCCAAAATGCGTCGTTGTGCCAAATCCTTTTTAGCTGTCAAAGGGACCTCCATGAGGCACAATTATTCGGACTGATAAAAGCACTCGAGCTAATTTGCGCGATGAGAAACAAGCTACTCAATAATAACTCAAAATGACAATTGTATCACAGAAGTAACGTGCAAATTATGGTCGCGTTCAAAGATGCATTTCATTATATATTTCATTTTCCTTTTCATCTCCACTTTATTCCTTTGTCAATACGCTCGTATTCACTACAGTGTAGTGTTCAAAGCTCGTCGCGACCAATTCGTTCGTGTCGAAAATAAAATAAATATAAACTTTAACATATGCAAACAATTGTGATGACTCGCAAGTTGACGGTATCACGATACAATGATTATTTCGTTCTACGTATCTGTTATGCGTTCCTGAACGTGCATAAAGAAGAGAACTGATCCAGAAGGAAACTCTTTCCGCCAATTGTCCCAAGACACCGAGTCACATCCTCGCTTTCCTGATGATAACCAGAAACAGCACTTCTCTAAGCATGTGGATACATCCTGTTCGTGCGGAATCAAATAGTCGGTTCCTTTTCCAACCTAAAAGATCGTATTAGATCACAACTATTCGTTTGCTTTTAGCCTTCGGGTCTACGATATGCTCTAATTAGGGCCCACTTTCTTACTCGAATTCGGCTCTTTTGATTTTTCGATATATATCCGCTGGTCCCATTCATCTTCGACATTCCCTCTCCACGCAATGTTTAATGCTCCCCTGTCATTATTGTTTTTCCTACTTTATAATTGGTTGTTTAAACTATATACGCATATATCACTAAGTCTACAAGGTTCAATCTAGGGTTTGCTCGAAATTCAGTAATCGAGGCAATTTTTTAACACTACTAACTCTCTTTTTCTCTTTTAGTTCCTTGACGACGTTCAAAGATGGATAGGAACCTACTCTCGCAAAAAGAAAGAGAGGAAGAGACAGAGTCGGATCGCAGGATTCAAGAAGAAAACTCAATTACGCCCTCGCGCAACGGTATTGAGGACGCTGATACTTTCGTCGCCTGTATGTACATACTTTGATGTATACATTTCCACGCGCGATGTTTACCCATCGGGTCCGAGTCGATTCTTCGGCGTCTTTGATCGTTCGATCTTATTTCACCCTCGATCTTGTACGGATTCGCAGCTACGTCGTCACCATGTGTTGTCGCGGTGACGGAACGAAACGAAGGCGTGCGAAATGAAAAATGTCGAAGAGGGATTTGTGGATTTGTGGATGCAGAATGACGCCTTGCTTCAATTATCGAGAAATATTAAAGTTTGTTCCTTGATAATCGATGATCTTCTTCAAGAAGATCTCCCGCAATCTCTTTAAAAATGCCACGTTTACAAGATACACAATATGTCGTATCCTGGGAAACACGTTCATGTAGATAAATAAGATCCTGTGTACGTTCCTCGTGCAGCATGGGATTTTTCTTCTAAAAATAGGACAGTGCAATTGAATAACGGAATTTTTAGATCGCGTTGGGTATAAATAAAAAAGGAAGAATTAACGTAAACATAAAATATGTTTAAAAATAAATTCCAATGGCTGATATTATTTTCTCCTTACACTAAAAAAAATAAATTTTAATAAATATTTATTTGAATAAATATTTATAAATGTAAAGATATATTTATTTGATTACGAAAACTATTAATTTAATTAAACTATTATTTTTTTATTGAATAAATATAATATTTATGTACTGTAACTGTTTACTTGTATAATATTACAAAGAAATATGTATATTAAGATAGAGAAAGATTATATTAAGATAGTAAATTCTTTTTTTAGTATAGTTTATAAATGATTAGAGGGTAAAGAATCTTTAAAAAAATTTTCTAAACTATTTCTCCACAAGTGACAATCTTTTTTTACGATTTATGTAATACACATCATTCTCCATTGATTAAACGAAGATATACAAAATATGCGGGAGCTAAGTATATTTTTAACAGTAATAATCTTGTTAAGTATATTGTCCAATTCATTACAGTTTTAATTTACAGTTTTAAATCACAAAAAAATCCGCATGAAAGAATCAATAATGAAGTAACTTATTTAATCCAAAGACAAGCGTTATATTGTTTCGTTTAGATGTCCATCTGTCTTTTGCGCACTACATTTTAGATCAATCTGTCTCCTGCGCGCTTAAGCTTTCATTTTATTGCGACATTTTGCGACAATTCTTTGCAAATTTCTCGAAACGTTGCATTTTCCCTGATTTTACGCACTCTCTGATTCCGACATTCTACGGATTTATCGTGACGTCGCGAATAATATATATATCCGCGAGCTTTCGACTTTATATTATCCAGCAGAATTCTCTCGCGGCCGAGGGTCGTAACACATTTTATTTTACGAGGAAGTGTCGTATGCGGAACGCGTATTAAATCGTTCCGCGTA